CTTCCGATCTTCAACACACTAAAAGGAAGCAGTAAAAACACAACTTTAAAATACTATACTAAGAAAGCCTTATTTTTATCAAAAGGGTGACTAGCACTGCAAAATTCACAGTTCACCTGTTAGGAGTTCTTTAAAAAATTCTTACCAAACTTAACAGAGACATTCCAGTTGTTTATATTAAAAGGAGCTGAGGTTATTTTAAAAAGTATATATATATATATATAACAAAATGAAACCGGAACAGGATAAGAAGATAAAAGTGTATATAGCCCTTTGTTAACATTCAAACTCAAAGAAATACAACAGTAAAGAAATAAAAAACTATTAATACTAAAAAGCAAAATTATATAAAGTTGTAACGATCATCTTAAGAATATATGTGGAGAGAAAAAAGTGAGTTCAGTTCATGACAATTAGCAAGAGTACATCTTCAGGTTTTTTTTTTTTAAAAAAAAAGTGGATAAATAGAGGGAGGACAGCATGCAGTTAAAAAATTCTTTCCTACCTTCCCTCTGTTTTCTTCCTACAAGCAATCTACCCTTTGTAATATCAGACACTGTTCCCTGTACCTCTCACCCTCCTCTCTTTCCTGGGGGTATCTGAGCCATCCCCCCTGTGCCTTTTCAGCCTGAAGGGGGTAATGCACCACACATGGAGTTTCAGGTGATGACACTAATTGGGCTGTCTCTCCAGCAGATGTATTTTACCTGCTAAATCCAGTACGGCCTTCTTCACATCTGCATCATATTAGCAAACCACAGTTGACTAATATAGCTAGTTCCCTCTCTATTCTTCCCAACTGACAAAAAATCTACTAGGAATTCTTGATTTTAAGTCCCAAAGTGAATAGCCTGGCATGGTTTTCACATGCTTGTGACAAATTCTTACTCGTGAAATGGCAATCTGACCTAGAGCTCTCTAGGAACCAGATCTAGTGAGAGGATCATTCACCATTCTTTAATATACTTGGGACAGACTACCTAAGAACACCCCAATCCTGCACCTCTCCTGCTGTCATGTTGCTGTGGTTGCTTTTGTGCACTGAAAACTCTAGGACAAATGCCCTTAAGGGAAGGGAAAAACCACTGGGCTTCCAAAACTAAACTTCATTTTTGGCATCCATTCACACAGCTGCTATGAAGCAAATCCAGTCTGCTGGTCTTTGACACAGATTTCTTCAGATGTCAAAAAAAAGATGCAAAAGATAATGGCATGGGAGAGCCTGGTTAATGAGGTGTCATGGCTATGGTTGATTTGTTCACTGCTTCTTTCATTTTATTATGCGCATCAGAGTGATAAGGAGAAAAATTTCTCACATTTTGTTTATGGACTATACACAGCTTAAGGCAAGTGGAGCAGCATCTTGAGACTTGCATCAGGCTCTGTAAGTAAAGCAGAATACGCCACTCAGGTTGTGCCTCTTTTCATCACATGGGGACCATCTGCAAGAGCAAATTAATACCAAGCTTTATTCCTCTGTATCCAGCACCCATTACACCACTGTCCATGCAGTTGTTCCAAGTGTGAGGCTGGGCCACGACCCAGAAGGAGATCATTCAGAAGAGTCTGTCACCTGTTTTGAGAAATTCAACGTGCCTCCAAACTACATCCTTCAATGACAAACTCTCTTTGTCAGGACAACTGCTTCTATCATTGGATCTGTCAAGCTGAGCCACTGAACAAGCTATTTCACTGTGTCTCCCCCAGTCAAGCTCAATTTGAGTTTTACAGTCCTTGATACTTGTGGGATATTTTCATAGAAGCCATTAACTTACTTTGCACTGGGAATTATGCTGCTTGGCAGGGGCTATCTCTCCTCACGATACCTGCATGTCCAAAGTTGAACCTAGTCTTGTAATGAGATGGCAAAAAGTAGTCATATATATTCAAAATGTTGGCCTGTAAGCCAGTAAGGCCTGAAAATATTTACCAATATGTCAAAATGCTTCTAGCTGAAAACCGTTTCTAAACCATTCGCTGTTTGCAAGTTTAATGGCTTAAGGCTTATGGGCTCATGAATCACCAGCTTTCTTAGCAGCAGCATTTGAAATGTTGATACCTTAGCCTTGAAATAGATGTGAAGGTACCACAGCCTTTACAAGCTGTTATCGAAAGACATACTTTAAAAGCTCCCACAGAAGACTGAATGCGATGGAAGTATCTGAGCTGGATGAAAGTAACCGAACCAACTTAGTTAAAGTCATTGTTCATGTCTGCGTTCCATTTTAGTGATTACCCTCCAGTTGGACAATGAATCATATTAAAGGAAGCTTTGATACTTACAGTTTGTCTGATAAAAAATCCAGATTACTTTAGAAGCAATGATGAGTATTTGGGAAACTATTAGTCTTATTTCAAATTACTGAATTCAACTATCAGAAGAGAATTTTAGAGAGCAATTCCATTTATCACTGATAAAAAAAAGATTGTACTATTCTTACAATCCCAAGATTTTCAGTTGAGAAGACGTATGAACATTCATGGCAAAAAAATTGCTACAACAGATACATGTGGAATGAGTATCTCTAAGGTCAAGGAGGTTATGCCAGTAAATGGCAAACACTGCATTACAGAACTGTAAAATGAAATGTTAAGTGTACACTATACTAGAGAGATAACAGGGATGGAACAGACAAATACAATAGCAAAACCAACTGGAAGAAAAAAAGAAATCTCCATTGTGAATAAAAAAAATAATAATACCATAAGAAATCCTCTAAAATACGCCACCATCAATTGATTTATCTAGGTCTTGCAAGGGGATATACACTGTGGAGTGTAAAATTATAAAATATATACATTTTTTGTCTACAACACCTAAGATAGACAGATGAATGAGCACATAAATATGGTAAATAAGTCTGTTTCAGTTTTAACCAGAGAGATTATGAAAACCCATTAAAATAAAACAAATAAATAAATACAATAGAATGCATACAGGTTTGTTTATCTATGAATAGCTTAAAAGGTATGGGAATTCATGGCTTCCTGTTTTCTCTGAGTAACTGGCCCCATCTATACACACATTCATCCACCATGTTGATGACGACAGTTTGCAGATCTGCCTCTTCACTCCTATCTCATCGCAGCCAGATTAAAATCCCAATCTGTTTCAAACGCCTCTCTGAGGACAGCTAAAATCAGGTGAGCCTCCGCTCTCCAACCTTTCTCCTCCACCAATATAGATAAAAATGGCCTTTTTGCCTATCAGTTAACTCACAACTCTTCATTTTCAACTCTGATTTCTCTCCAGGCCCTCACATTCAAGCATACAAAAACAATCAGAAAGATTTTGACATATTTCCAAGATTATTTATGTATGTTCATCTTCACAACTAAAAACTTTTGTCCAAGCTTTCATCACCTTGATTACTGCAACTTCTTTCCCCAGCTCTAATCTCATTCAAGTCCCATCCGTCCAGAATGCCATCTCAGTCAGCATTTTCAGCAATTAGTCAGACCATGTGAATACATGAATGCATTAGTCTTTGGTTCCTCTTTGGGTTTGAGCTTTTACTCATTCTGCACTCATATTTGAAGTAAACTCCTTGTAAACAGCTCCAAACCTCATTTTTATTTCTCCTGAATTCTCCTTAAAACTTATCTGTTCTGATTTCTCCTGAGAAAGTTGACAATTAGGCTACTACCAAGGTCACCGATCAATACAATCCTACTCCTTCTTACAGCTCCTGCCCATGACCATTTTTTTACATGCATATTGTAAGCTTTTAGGGGCAAAGACCACTGTCTCCTCTTCTTTCAGCTGTACGTAAGCTCCAAACACATTTCTACTTTACTCACTGAACTAAACACATGTAGTATTTACACTTGCTTCTCAACATTTTATGCAAATGCTGCCATGTTTTAGAGGACCATGTGACTGCTATCCTCATTGTAAACAGAGGAGAACAATGTGTGGGTAACCAAGATTAGAAGTAAGCACCATTTAAATTATACTTGAAGCCACACCAGCAACATTGCAGCGTGAATGAAGCAGACACAACATGCAATTCCACAGAATTCTTTCCAATGTCATAGGCCGATATAGCTTCAACAAATGTATAGGGGTTATTTCTAGTGAGTTGTGCGGTTCAAACATGCCCATACACACTTCCTTCAGGGTGTCTGTGGTGTACAATGATTTTCCATCACAGAATGAATATGATTTTCAAAAGAGTCATCTATGCCTACCCTGGTCTAATAAACCATTCTAGCTGCCACTAAGGTTTAGTATGTATGTTGCCAATAGGTCTAGTAAAACCATGTCAGCAGTAACTATGGTTCAGTGCATATGTTGCAGGTAGGTTTTCAGTCACAGTGTGGACAACCCCTGGCTGTCCACACTGGACAGTGGCTGAGCCATCCACAGATTTTAGTTCTTTAAAATGCAGCAGTAAGACAATCAAGGTGGTTATATATTGCTCTTTACCACTAACTTGGAGCAGACCACAGACCACCACCAACGTCCTGGAAGGCACAGCCTGCCAGAAGACATGGCTGAGCTCAGGTAGCTGACACACGGAAGAGTGAAGAGGGAAAAAAAAAAAAAAAAAAAAAAAAAAAAAAAACAACAAAGAAAAAGATTTAAAATATGAGGATAGTGAAAGGGAACAGCTTATTAAACTCATGGCAAGTCATTTAGCATTTTACACTGGTGCCTCAGTTACTAGGCACTACTGGTCTATCTAAAAAGAGCTGCAAATGAAAGGCAGAAACACAGAAGTGAGATGACAGCCTTATCAATAGGCTAATGCCTTGCCAGTTCTATTTCTACGGTAAGTCTACACAGCTAGATGACACCGAGGTGGATGGTGTGCAATATTCCCACATACAAAAACACTCCTGGAAGGAAGGTTTCAGTAGAAGAACAGACTATTGCAGATATCAATTACCCAGTGACTGTGAAGCCATGGATAGATTATCAACATGAATAAAGTAAGGACTCGCACACTCTGAGGTCAACCACTGACCAGCCAATCTGAATCCTGTCTGTCCTACTCCTTATGTTTCACAAAAGCTATCGTGTTCTGGCTTCAGTCTGAAGATGCTGCCAAAACCCTCCTACTCTTTCAGGAAGGCAGTTCCTGGGAGCAGGCACTTTCAGGCAGAGCAAATATGCCTACTGACTACAACAGTGGGAACAGTCCTGATCTCCTGTGAAATCCGTGCAACTGAGTTGACCTTATAGATGCAGGGAGCAGTGGGGTTTGTATCCAAGCCCACTTCACACACAGTTTTTATCTCTAGGTAGCCTTCACCTCACTCCACACAAGAAGTAGGCAGAAATCTACCAAAACGTTTAAATGCTCAGGTAACCACAGCACACTGCAAGCATGTGTCTAATTAATCTGATTAATCAAAGTTTCCTGTTCAGTAATATATCATAGAGCTATGTAAAATGAAAACTGCAATGGCTCAAAGAAAAGCAGCTGGCTCCTTTCTGTTTAGTTAGAAGGCTTTAACTCTTTTGCCAATCTAAGAAAGTGTTTTATCTTGACTTAGATATCTGTAAATCAACTTCCTTATCTGAAGGAAACAATACATTGCCCCATACACTGACATAGTAAAACACCTTCTGTCACTGCCCACAGGTAAGCTATTACTGCATAAGAAATTCGGGTAGCAATTCTGCTCAACAATTCTCCTGGAGATTTCAGAAACTTGAAGTTTCCAGAGAGCTTCAAGTGAGGAAGCTCGTCTTGTTGAGAGTCGAGAGGCCAACATAACACTGGAAGCTTACAAATTTAGAGTGTTTCATGAAAAAGACAGCGTATCCCGCAGCTACTCTCTACCTCCTCCTGCAGTTGTAGAAAATAATCACTAGATGGAGCTGCACAGTCACAAATCTGATTTATGGCCGCTAGAAGAGTTCGTTGTCTCCTACACTTCTGTTTGGCCTAAAACTGACACATTCCAGCACTTCATGATAACTCATCTTCTGAAAGATGCAATGAAATGTTTTCATTTACAAAAGCAAAATATTAACAGAGAAAGTGATGAGATACTGAAAGAAAGGAAAAAAAAAAAAAAAACACAAGAAAGCAACAACACTCGCAGCTTTCAAAATCAAATAAATTTTAAAAGTGAACTGAAAGATATTTTATCTGCCAAGACAGATCAGATGTCTTGCTTTGTTCTGCAAGTCAGAAAGCAGAGCAGACTCCTTAGTGCTTGACGTGATTAGCTGCTGCAAAAGAAATACAAGAGCTTTGAGCTCAAGTCTTTGTAAATAAGGTCTAGCACACACTAAAAATGCAGTGATAGGCAAACCCATTTCCCATAAATGCCCTGGTGATATACTTAATCCTGCACTTAAGATGTACTTACAAAAGAATTGTTTTCTGCTAACTGCATTGACACTAGACAGTTTCGCTAGCATAAGAACATATTTGAAAAGTTATCCTAACCTACAGGCACACAATTAATCTGGCTTTCTAGGGATTAACTATGTGCCAAAAGGGAAGTTTTACCTGCTTTCATCCTACATCTGTTGAGGCCAAGTTGCAGCCCTCTCCATGCCTGCATATTCCTGGTCTGTCTGCAATGCTGCTAATTTCATCTCCTGTAGAGTGACAAAATGATAGATCTTCATATCTTGTTTGGGTTTTGCAAAATCCAGGTATTGCCAACACTTCACAAAATGAAAACCAAATCCCCGTCTCATCTCCAAAAGGCACTGCAGGGTCCTTTCAGCACGTATCTATGTAATGCAACAAAAGCACAGAAAAGTTTTTTTAGCCTGATTTCTAAGAAAAGAAGATGGCACAGTCACTGTTGCTTTATATATCAATTCCCTCAGTGACAGATCAGGCCAGGGGAGAGATCCCTAAACAGCCAGGCTGTCAAAAAGTGGCAAGGGCACTGCTGCACCTTGCCTGGAAGGGGCTGCAGAAGAGGGCTGAAACAGCAGCAGAGGAAACCAGGCCCCATTCCCCCTCTCATGGAGGATCTTCCTTGATCCCTTTCACCTGGAAACTTGCAGTTCTGGGCACAGGACTGAAGTCCCACAATCTTATGTACGTTTTGATAAGGAATCTGCTCGCACCTCAGCTGCAAAAACCATTGTGCTCGGGAAGGAGAGAGCACATTTCCAGAACTAATTGGAGGTCCAAGCCTCTCATGAGGACATTTCTTTTAAGAACTCCCCCATCCATTACCAGTTCACACAACATTTGGGTGCGTTTTAAAATGAAGACTGCAGCGAAGGCATACCAGAACCAGCCTCTGAGGAGGTGGCGGCACAAACCCCAGATGCTGCTTTTGTCACTTCACACACCGCTACAGAGTATGTCACTCGCGAGGAAGGCGCGCATTTCCCGCGGGATGCCCATCCTCCCGCCAGCCCCGCCCAGCACCGGGCACCTCGGGGCGCGGGCGGTGGAAAAGCCACCAAAACCAGCCTAAAGCGCCGGCTCCAGGAGGACAAGTCGGGCCGGCAGCCGCGGACACCAGCTCATCGCATCGCGTCGCATCGCTCCGCTCTCCCGAGAGGAGGCGGCGGCCCAGGGCCGCCCGGAGGCGCTCCGCTCCGCTCCGCGCCGCCGCCACGTGCCG